ATTTAAAATCCTGTCTCACTATCTTCAGTCACACCTGCTTGTTAAAAACTGTCTTGTCTGAATCCAACAGACAGTTGGATTCCAAATACCAAATATCAAGTGCTACATGGAAAAAAATCATATACTGTTAATTCATGGTTATCAACATCAACATGATCCTCAACGCTACTTCAATACATTCTCCTGGTTCCCTTTCCATTGTTTTGCTTGCTCCATCTTAACCTCTTTTGAGGGATTTTCATCTGCCATTCCTTAAACATGGACATTCCTCAGCATTCTGCCCCACATGTTCCACTCTACAAATTCTCTGTGTGACCTCACTCACTTTGATGGCTTCTATAACTAACTAAATATTATTAAACACTCCCAAATCTAAAAATCCAAACACTTTCCAATATCCAGACACTATATCCAGGTGCTTTCCAGATCTGGTTCTAGATCTCTTCATATAAAAGTCATGTAACCATTTTCAAGTTACTATGCCCATTAGAGAACTTGTTAACATCTCCACTCTACTTTTTTTTCTGCATTGCTCTGTCATATCCTGCGGAACTGCATTATTACCAAATGCTGAATTTTACAAACCTGCAAGCTGGAGTCTATTTTAACTACTCTCTTTTAACCCTGACACCCCTTTAACAATCAGTTACCTTTAATTCTACTTCTCAAATTTGTCACACCTGGTTAGTCCTCTACTACCTCACTTCCTTATCCTAGACTGAGTTACATCTAATTCTTATGTGAATTACTCCAGCAGTTAGCAAACCATTCTTTCAACTTCCAGTTTTGTCTCCTTTTGACCTATTTTCTACAACCCTTCCAAAGTCTAAATGTGATCCTGTTTTTATGCATCAGCTCATAAAATTCATTAAATAGTACCTATCTCAACAATGTAATGAGGGAGGTACTATTTATTCATCCCTTGTAAAGACTGCTCACTACAATACTTCACGTTCCTAGCACAGTGCCTGGGATATATTACATGCTTAATAAGTACTCAAATATTCAATTGATGGAAATTTCTCCTTCCATCTAAGATGAAATATCATGAATTAGATTTACTCTCCTGCCTGAAACAATTCCTCCCTCCACCCACAAAGACACACATGCAAAATATATTAAAAAATGGTTTTCAAGATACAGGACATTAGGTAATGGACACTGATTACTGAGACAAGAAAAAACAAGATGAGCCCTAACGCTCCAACTTCAATTGTTTTGAGATAATTTAAAGGTCATGGAAAAGCGGGGGGGATGGATAAGCCAAGAAATAACCAGTAAAGTCCATGAGTTACGAAGACAGACCTGCAAGTCCAGGGAAACCAAGGCAGCTAGAGTTCATATGGTAAAATTCCAGAGGGGACAGAGCTACAGAGAACTCCAAAATTGTAGTACTAAATGCCTATACTAAAAAAGAAATGTTCAAACCAATCATCTGAGCCACCACCTCAAGAAACTTAGAAAAAGAGCAAAATTAAACCCAAAGTAAGCAGAAGGAATAATGAATATCAAAGTAGATATCAATGAAAGAGAAAACAGAAAAAGAAGAGAAAAAAACCAAAAGCTGGTGCTTTAAGAGCAATAAAACTGAACTGTCAAGAATGGATAACCAGGGAATGGCCAAGATAGAGGAATAGGAAGACTCTAAGATCACCTCCTCTCAGGGGCACACCAAAATTACAAATATTTACAGAGTAACTATCAATGAGGATGACCTAAGACCAGCAGAGAAGAAGCTATTTAAAAACTAAAGATATAAAGAAGAAACCACAACAAGACAGGTAGGAGGAGTGTAGACACGGTATAGTAAAGAACTATACCCCCAGGCCACAGATGGGAGGATAATTATAATTGCAGAAGTTCTCCCCAAGGAACGAGGGGTACAACCCTCCTCATCAGGCTGCCCAGCCTAGAGTTCCCAGAATGACTGGCTTTGAAGACCAGTGGGGCATACTTTTGAGAGAGTCAAAGGGCAGTAGGAAACAGACTCTACTCTTAGAGGGTGCACACAAAATCTCACATGTTCTGAGACCAAGGGAAGAAGCAGTAATTTAAAAGGAGCTTGGGTCAGACCCACTTGCTGATATTACAGAGCCTCCCAGAGAAGCAGGAAGCTTCTGGTACTCACACTGGGGACACAGACGCTGGCAGAAGCCACTTCTGGATGCTCATTCAACCACGAGGACAATGCTGCAGGCCAGCAACATTTTGGAATCCTCCCTCTAGCTCATTAACACTGGGACCCGCCCCAGCCCACCTGTCAGTAGGCACCAGCCCTGGGACATCCCACACCAAGTAGCTAGCTGAGCACTGACACAGCTCCACCCACCAGCAGACCAACTCCCATAGGACCCCCTGAGCTCCTGGCCGCCCCAGGACCCAGCCCTGCCACCTGTGGGCTGACACCAGCTCTGGGACCACCAAGCTCTACAGCAAGAGACCACAGGACCCAGCTCTGACCATCAGCAGGCCAGCACGCCCCCCCTCCGAGGACATGACCTTACTCCCGCAGTGGGCAGACACCAGCCATGGGACCACTGGGCCCCAGCCCTGCCCACCAGTGGCCCAACACCAGCTCTGGGACACCTTGAGACTCTTAACCACCCCAATATCTGGCCCTGCCCACCTCAGGGATGACACTAACTCTGGGACACCCTGAATACCGCAGCCAGCTTTGTCAGGAACTGGCCCCGCCCAGGAATCCCATTCCTGAGTATTTATCCAAAGAAAATGAAAACACTAATTTGAAAAGATACACATACCCGTAAGTTCATTGCAGCATTATTTACAGTAGCCAAGATATGGAAACAATCTGAGTGTTCATCAGTGGCTGAATGGATAAATAAGATGTGGTGCGTGTGTATATGTATGTATGTGTGTATACACACACACATATACACAATGAAATATTACTCAGCCACAAAAAAAGAATGAAATCCTGCCATTTGTGTCAATATGGATGGGCCTAGAGGATATTATGTTAAGTGAAATAAATCAGACAGAGAAAGATAAATACTGTATGATTTCACTTGTATATGGAATTTAAATAACAAAACAAATAAGAAACGTTGACAAAAGAGAAACCAGTCATAGATACAGAGAACAAACAGGTGCTTGCCATAGGGGAGAGGGGCGGGGGGAGGAAAGAAAGAAGTATGAGAGATTAAGAGGTACAAACTTTCAGTTACAAAATAAATGAGTCGTGGCTATGAAATGTACAATGTGGAGAATACAGTCAGTAACTATGTAATATGTTTGTATGGTAGAGACTTACCATGGTGATCATTTTGAAATGTACAGAAATACTGAATCACTATGTTATGTTACAGGAACTAACATAGTTCTGTAGGTCAATTATGCTTCAAAACAAACCAACTCATAGAAAAAGCAATAAGATTTGTGGTGACCAGAGGCAAGGGGTAGGAGGAGGGTGAACTGGATGAAGGTAGTCAAAAAGTATAAACTACCAGTTATAAGATACATAAGTACTAGGGATATAATGCACAACATGATAAATATAATTAATACTCTTGTATGTTACATATGGAAACTGTTAACTGAGTAAATCCTAAGAGTTCTCCTCATAAAAAATTTTTTTTCTATTCTTTTAATTCTGTATCTATAGAAGATGATGGATGTTTACTAAACTTATGTGGTAATCATTTCATGATGTAGGTAAGTCAAATCATTATGTTTAGAGCTTTAACTTATACAGGGCTGTATGTCAATTATATCTCAATAAAACTGGAAGGGAAAAAAATAATGGATACCCAGTTATCCCATAGAAAAAAAAAAGATCAATAAAACCGATTAACCTCTAGCCAGAATGATTAAGGTATAAATATCAAGAATGGGGGAGGTAACATCATTATAGATACTAATGAGTAAGAAGAGAGTATTTTGAACTTTATGTCATAAAACTCTACAATGTAGGTGAAATAGACACATTTCTTGAAAAAAATTAACAATCACTCAAAAATAATTAATTTGAATAGTCCCAAGTTTACAAAAGAAATGGACATTGTAGTTAAAAATCTCCCACAAGCAAATACCAGCCCCAGTGGCTTCACTGGTGAATTCTACCAAATATTTAAGGAAGAATTAACACAGTTGTACTCAAACTATCATAAGTGTATACATATCAAACTTATCAAACTGTATACTTTAAAAGTATGCAATTTATTATATGCTAATTATATCTCAATAAAGCTGTTTTAACAATATTCAGTTGATGGAAAGAATGGCAGGAGGGAGACAGACCTGCCAGAAGCCAAAGAGAAGCAGCAAAAATAAAAAGGAAAAAAATAAATAGAATGAGATCAAAGAAAAAAATTACAGAAAGAAAGAAAAGAGCAAGTTTAAGTAGTGATGAATCCAAGTTGTAAGAGAAAAAGGGCATTAAATCTAGAATAGATGATTAGAAATAGCACAGTAAAAGTTCTGGAACTATCTGGATATTCACTTATTCCCCTAATTCCTAATCCTATGCAGAGTGAATATATAAGATTGTACTCTACTGTGTGTGTGTTTGTGTGTGTGTGTGTGTGTGTGTGTGTGTGTGTGTGTGTGTGTGTGTGTGTGTGTGTGTGTGTCTTTAATTAGCGTATGAGATCCACAGCACAAAGCTGATAGAGTACTTCGGGTACTGCTGTATTTGCTGAGTGAATAAATATATTAGAAATTCTCCCATTTCTTCCATAACCTTATAATTTATAAAGAACTGCAAATAAGTACAAATATTCTTCCTCAGATAACAAATTTTACAGCATTCCTAATTACCTAATGAGGAATTTTCCAATACTTCCTAGGTTTTTAAAAACTAGAAGACTAATAATTGATCTTACCAAAAAATACTTGGGGAAGAGGAAATCACAAAATTAAGTACAGTTATAATCAAATTAAGTTCCACTCTAAACAGAAAACTCAAGATACCAAAGCCTTTAATGTAAAAAGTTAGAAAAAGATTGCATTCTACATAAATATATTTGTGAAAAGCTTACCTGTATAGTCTCATTTCACTCAGCTTTATCGTTACCAAATCAATAATGGGTGGGGGGTTGATCTGACTCTCTGTTATCACATGGAATGTATTTTTCATTGTAATTAGTCCAAAATCAGCAACAAAAACATTTTCAGAAACTGGAGACTGTGGGATAACCACAACTGGGGCTTTGATGTCAACATCCAATGCCATTCTAGAACTCCTTTGTGCCAGTTCTTTTACACCAGTAGCAGCCATTTCTGCTGCCTGAACAGTTGCCTCTGCCAAGGCTTGTTTAGCTGCTTGAAAATTATCTACAAAAGCCTATAAAGAAAACAAAATTATACTCTTAAGGCTACCATTAATGAATAAAACTATTAAATGTATATTGATATTTCTGATTTTACCTCCATAAGAAGAATTTTCTCTTGGAACAACTAAGCATTATTTATTCAAAGTCTGACTTGTCTATATTAAACCGTAATTTTCTGCAATAAAGGTTGAGAAACACAAAGATACAGATACAAAAACACAGTAAAACAGTAAAAATCTAGTCCCTGGACCAAAGCAACATGTGGATGCTCCAATGTTTCACTGGCATCTATTTTCCTTTTTATCTCACTTTCCTTAATGGCTAAACAATCACACTGTATTTCCCTACACAACCACAATGGACAGAGAGCTTATTTACGTTTGTAAACATACTATAAACAGTATGTCTGTCAAGAACTCTAAAGTTTTCTGATTCCTGAAATGTGGGAAAAATACTAAAGATATAAAATACACCCAGAATTATACTTAATTTTCATGTTTAATTAATTTCATGTTTTAATTATTTTCAATAATTTTTGAGTATAAAGCTATCACAAAAGGGCTCAGTGATATGCTTCTGAGTTATAAAAAGAAATTAGAAAAAATTAAACAAGAATACTTTTTCATTTTTACTTTTTATGTACAAAAAAGTTTTTATGGCTATAGGAAAAAACTGCATGATAACCTCAGTTAAAAAGATCACAAAAACAGCAACATTTATTTAGAATCAACTGATTATTTAGTTTAGATACCACAATTAAGTTAAAAGAATGAATAGTGAAGTCATAGAGACAGGTATGACACAGGAAAAAACCAGCTGACAGCAAGGGAAAAACACAGGGGAAAAAAAAAACAGAACTATGAAAGGCAGAAACAGAACTTAAATACTCAGGGAAGTGTTATATAGGGATTAAATCTAAATCCCTCAAAGCCCCAAATATTCACAGAACTAGAATGCAATAGAAAACATAATTTTCTTAATGACCAAACCAAACTTCAATTATATATTTAGCACTTTTAGTTAGAGCTGGAAGTCAGGTAAAACACTCAAACTAATAATGTATAAAGAATTCAATTAATATAGATAACATATATGATATATAATATACATATATTTAATATGTTTATAAAATACATATTTCAATTAGCTAGAACATTCCCATGTGAAAATGATGTTATATAAACAGTATACTATACATTTCAGTCATGATATATGGTACCCAGAATATCTTGAAAAATCAGGACAAAAAAAAAATCAAGTAAGGAATGCTTCATCTATGCTTGATGCACAGCAAACACTTTCCAACTAGTAGGAAAGAATAAATAAAAAGCCGATTAACATACTTACCAATACAGAATACAGAAATTTTGTGACAAGAATTACTTCAATGCAACCAACAGTTAAATTAACTTGACTGTCAAACACATTCATATCTGTGTACGCAGAACCAGCAGTTGCACCCATATAAGAAACGATTTTGAAGCTGAAAACTTCTTTTCCAGTAATATAAACAGCCTTAATGAGAGAAAATTTAATTGTCAAAATCCACTTTCGAAATGATATGTCTTCAGTACAAAAATAAAGCAAATGCAAGATATACACACATATCTGGAAAATCTTGTAAGTAGCCAAGCCAAGTACAAATAAGACAACAATTCTAACTTCTTTATTAGAATCTACACTGCAAGTTTTTTCAAATCAGTAGTGGCAACTCCCTTAGCAGGCCATGAAATCAATTTACTAGGTCTGGCACAAGATTCTTTTTAATGGAAAAAACAGAAAAAAATCAGAATACACATTTTCATTTAGTGTGTATACATGTGTACTGAGAACTGCCATATAAATGTATTTTTCAGTCACTGTCAAAACTTAATATAATCTATTTTCTTCATTTGAGATATGTGAATAATTATCCAGATCCTTCCAAGGAGTTTCCTCCTATCACTATACTTCTGTTCCTTACTAGTTTGTCAAGAGTCATCTCAATTGCCAAACAAGAATTACCTACAGCAGTATAATGTCTCAAGCTCTGCAATACCAGTTAAAAATGGTGGAGATATTAGCAGATGTGAAATGTCAAAAATATTCTGAAAGATAAACAGAGCACTCACTAACTTAGTTTATAGCTTTCTTGACCCTCTAAATGCTAGAAGTAAGGCAGAGGGCTGAAGAATCATCAAGAAGTAAATGAATTCCAACCATGAAACAAAAAAACCTCAGGAATCAAGGATAGTTGTCTGAAGGTTGAGGTGTAAGATGAGACTAAACAGAAGTCTATAGGAATTCTGCTTCTGCCTAGGATGTAGAATGCTGGAGAGACAGTCACTCCAAACCTTAAGAACAAGAAAAACAAAAACAGATAAACTACAAAATCATAACTTTTCTTAAAACCATTAGATATCTGAGGTCACAAGCCAACTCAGCAGCCTAAAATCTAAAGAAAAAAGGTACCTTCAAGAGAGAACCTTAAGCACCAGCTCACCTGTGGTAAGGGGCAGAAGAAAAGAGCTGTCAGATACCACACAAGCTAGGTAAGAAGAAATCAGATAAAATGGTAAAGGTTGACTATGAACTTATAATGTGATATACAGAATCCCTGGGAGTCACAGACACAAGAGGAGCTCACACTTAGTTGCAAGCACTTCATTGTGTGCTTTCTGCTGGGAGCTCCTGAGAGACTGGGGCCAGAGTGGAATACCAGAGGAAGCTTTCCTTGGTACAACCCTCAAAGAGAGGAGAAGCCTCCACTCTAGAAAAGGCCCAAAGTTCCATCAGGATTATTCTCTTAGAACAGAAGCCTTAAGAAACTAGCAGACAGGCAGTAACCTTGTTGCCCTCAGAGCACAGGTGAAGATACTATACCCCAGAGGCAAAGATAAAACTCCCTCTACACTCAGGGGAAGAAACTGTCCTGGGACCCATTACAGAGCACCTTTTACTGGAGCAGGAAGGCATACTCTCCCATATAGGAGCTACCAAAGATCTGAGTCAAATGCCATGGGAGGGATGGACAGGATCACCAAAAATGCCCCATTTCTGAGACCTGGAGAAACAGATCTGGCTAGACTGAACCTGAACTAGGACAACTGACAAGACTACCTAAAACATCTTCCCACTCTACCGCCACCCCCAAATACCATCAAGATGGCAAGCTCTACAAAAAAGCAGCAGTAGACTCTAAACATCAAGGAAAGAGCCAAGAGTATGGAAAGAGAACTTTCTGAGGTACAAGAGTAGAGGAAAAGTCAACAGCACAGTATGAAGCAGCACTCCAACAAAAACTCCCCCACATGGCTGAAGGAATGTGAAGCAGTGGTATATTGAAGGGAATCATATTAAACAAGAAAACTCAAACCCAGTTCAGCTCTCCATTAACTGGATACAATCCCCTATGTTAATAGACTAGCAGAAAAAGGAGGCACACTCACTTTCAGACATAAATACTATTCACTTCTGTCTCTATTATCCTATATATGATGTCTGACAGTCAATCATTAGTTATGAAACAACCCAAAAAGCAAGAAGAAAATAAATGACAAAGCAATCAACAGAACCAGACTTGCTTATAACATAGATGTTGGAACTTTCAGCCGGTGGATTCTGAATTATTATGATTACTAAGGTAAATGCTTCTAGTGGAAAACGTGGAAAATATGAATGAACAGACTGAAGAATATGAGCAGAGAAGTGGAAAACGGAAACAAGACTCAAAGGGAAATATTAAAGATTAAAAAACCATGGTAACAGATGAAGAATACTTTCAATGGGTTTATTAGCATATTCAATGGAGCCAAGGACAAAATCAGTGAACTTAAAAATAGGTCAAAAGAAATTACACAAGCGAAACATAATGAGAAATGAATGGGAAGATTTGAACAGAGGATCCAAAGGTTATGGGACAATATCTAACAGAAATCTAATAAGAATTTTTGGAACCCAAGAGGAAGAAGAATAGGGAGGAGGCGGAGGAGGAAGAGGAGGTGAGGAAGCGAGAGAGGTGGAAGCAGAACCATTTGAAGAGGTATAAAAAATATTGAGACAGATCCAGAAAACTCTGAACAGGACAAATATGAAAATATACTTTCATATACCTAGCATACCATACACAAATTCTCAAGGCAGTCAGATAAAGATGAGAAATTATGTACACCTAGCAAAAATATCACTCAGAAAATGAAGGTGAAATAAAAGCCTTTTTTTTTTTCCACTTCTGATGCCTCCTTCCCGCCAAAAGATGAAATAATTCGTAACCTGCAGACTTGCATTATAAGAAATGATTAAGTTCTTCAAGTAGAAATAAAAATATGAAAAAATACCTGCAGACTTGCATTATAAGAAATGATTAAGTTCTTCAAGTAGAAATAAAAATAACAGAATTTTGAAGGTACATAAAGAAATGAGTTCTGGAAATAGTTAGAATGAAGGTAAATACATCTCTTATAAAAAATTAACCGCTCTAAAGAAAACTGACTAAACCCCGATTGGTAGGTATACATTGTGGACTTTCAGCATACACAAAAGTAAAATATTACAATAATACTGTGAAAGGCAAGAAGTAGGAATTGAAAGTATAGCACTGTTAAGATATGCGATACTACATAAAGCAGTAAAATATTAATGGAAGGTAGACTGTAATATCCCCGATACTATTAATCAATAAAAAACAATATCTTCCATAAGTCACATGAGTGACTTGTGACTATCCCCCTTGAGCCCAACAGAAGAGAAGAAATTTTCATAAGACAGTGTTTACTGCACAGAGGTTGTGGCCTAGGAGACAACAGGTGTAGATAAGGGGTAAATAAAACACCATACTGAAAAATGGGTATTTTAAGTAAAAATCTGTAAATTGAAATGTAAGGTCCCCACATTCTTCAACCAACTGGCTCCCTGAATCTAGACTGTCAGGCCTATACTTACAGTACTTTTCTAAAAGGAAAATGACTGGCCTGAGAGAGGGGAAAAAAAAAAAACTTTAGATACTCAAGTTTTGAGGCCATCAAATCACTACATTACTGACTGACCATCTACTGTGATGTCCACCTGTCCCAACTGCTGCCCACACAAAGCTTCCAATCAGCTCTGAATATCTAGGCAAAATTACAAAGTCCTTCTAGGAGAAAGAAAGTGAAATTGTCATCAGAATCATAAGCAGCAATGTGATTGAACACTAGGCCAGAAGACACAGAATAACATGTTTAAGATCATCTAGAAAAAAAAAATGCAAGCGAAAGAATCAAAATCCAGCCAAAGTACTCTATAAATATAAATGTAAGGCAACATACAGACACTTACGGAGTACTATTCTTATGACTATGAGCCCTGCCTACAGAATCTACCAGGGAATAAACTTTTAAGTAGCCAAAATTTTGAAGATGTCAGCATAAAGACTGGTGAAAACTCCCATTTAATAAAGAAGAAATTTTTGAATCAGAATATTATCATTTTGCAATCCTTAATGAAATAATGGTTCTTAACATTACAAAAACAACGACAGCTAGACACTGTGCATCCTTTGAAAATACACAACACCAACTATGAAGTATTCTTGCCCTCCCCAGCCCATGTATAAAAAACCAAAAATAACCCTGAATCTCACTGAATGAGATTTAACTATCAATTTACAGGAAATACAGGGAATAGAGGAACATGTTAAATATCATGAGAACACAATCAGCAAAAGCTGATGGAAAATTCTACAAAACAAATAGGATAGCAACAAATGGCAAGGGAGAGAAAGAGATAGAAAATTATAGATTAAAACAGACTTGAGAGGCATATTAATCAAAATGCACTGTATGGACCTCCTCTGGATCTGATCTAAACAAACTAAAGGAAAAAAATTATGAGACAGTCAAGGAAATATGAGAACTCACTGGATGGTTGATAACATTAAGAAATAACTGTGCCACCAGTCAGAATGGCCATCATCAAAAAATCTACAAACAATAAATGCTGGAGAGGGTGTGGAGAAAAGGGAACCCTCCTGCACTGTTGGTGGGAATGTAAATTGATACAGCCACTATGGAGGACAGTATGGAGGTTCCTTAAAAAACTAAAAATAGAACTACCATACCACCCAGCAATCCCACTACTGGACATATACCCTGAGAAAACCATAATTCAAAAAGAGTCATGTACCACAATGTTCACTGCAGCTCTATTTACAATAGCCAGGACATGGAAGCAACCTAAGTGTCCATCGACAGATGAATGGATAAAGAAGATGTGGCACATATATACAATGGAATATTACTCAGCCATAAAAAGAAA